TGCTGAGCTACAAGAAAGACACCACCCAAGATTTTTTAATAAGTCTGCAGACCGCAGCAGCTCTGCTCTGCCACGCTGCCAGTCCTCTGCTGCACAACACATCCCCCCGGTGCCCCTGAACCTGCCAGGAGGGACATTTCTCCACCGTCGTTCAAAGAAAACAGCACACGGGGGTAGCAGACATCCTCTCTGCAGTGTGATTTGGCAGTTAAACCATGCTGCCTTACCAGGAATGAGCAGTAAGCACCATCACGAGCCAGGGGGTTTCTCCCCACAACTGCTGGGGTGATCCAGCAGCACCTTGGGATAAGGCTGTGGGCTGGCCTGCGCTGCCAGTGTGGAAAGCTGCACTGAAATCAAGGGGTTTCTCAGCATTAACCTTGCTGATCAGGCACCTGGACAAGGTTTTGAAACTGGTCCCAAAGGGTTTCCCACTTGACACCAGTGCCATTCCTGGTTAGCTGCAGCAGTGCATGCAGCACTCAGGTCCACTCGCTTACACGGACTCAGCACAACAGACTCTGTGGGTATTGAATCAGCATTTTCTAAGAGTAATAAAAAAACCCAAACCAGCTCCTTTTCTGTGGGGATGAATCTGCTCGGTGCCGGAGATGTTTGTTAGCACCGCAAATCGCTGCGGCAGAGCACGGCCCCAGCTCGACCCTGTTGCCCTCAAGTTCGTATAGCTGTTTCTTAGCATAAACAGAGATTTTCGCTGAGCTCTTAAAAATATCATCTCGCTCTGAAAAAAACTGCACAAACTCTGCACAGTGGTAGGCTGGTAATCAAAACACGTGTAGCTGGAGGAAGGCCAGCGGCGCTCAGCGCGGGTCCTCCGCTTGTCACAACTGCCTTGTGACGTTCATGAAAGCCACACTCCAAGTTCCTCCCCATCTTGACACGAAACCCGTCACTTTTGCAAACACAGAAAGGCAGAGCATTCACCCCCTGATTTCATGTCTTACAAATTTCAGAAAGGAAGAGCCGGGTCAGCTGCGCCATCTTTTCTCTGTGCCTGCACTGTGGCAAAATAAGTGCAGGCAAGTTAAGTCGACGCCGACAAAACCTCTGGGGATTTTGGGGTCAGAAAAGTCCTAATGAGGCAACATGCAACATGAAAACCACCCACAATCACACCAGACAACACCAGCCTTCCAAATCCAGCAAAATACTGTCTGAGCAGTCAAAGAGACAGGAATGAGACAGAGAAACACTTGCATTTAGGTACAGCAACGAAAAGGGAGCCCTTAACGCACGGGCTCGCCTCTGAAGGCAGCCAACCTGCCTGGGCGCTAGGCAGGACCTGCACTGCTCGCAGGGATCAGCTCGCAATGAGTAAATGCTCCGGATTATTTTTAATGCGCTTGGAATAAACCCATGCTTGTGGGGAGGGCCGGCACCGTGAAAGCCCCACGTGAGCTCTGTTGGGAAGATTTAAGTAGGGCATAAGCGGTGTTATATGCTTTATATAGCCCTCTTGGAGATGTAGGTGCCTCCACCAGCCGTCCCGTGCAGGCCCAGCTGCGGGGGTCCCCACCACGTGCCTGAGGCTGAAGCTCACAGGGGCCACGTCTACACGAGGCCCAAGCCCCGCAGAAGCCAGCTCCTCCAGCGAGGGCAGGATCAGGCCCCTCTGGCAGACCCACCCCCCCCTTGACGGTCATTACCTGCTGACCCCGTACTCTGGGGGCGGCTGGTAGCGGACGAGGGCCACCTCTGCCCGGGCGGGCTGGGGGGCGGTGTAGGAGGCCTTGAGGACATCCTGCGCTGGCTGCTCGCCGTAGAAGAGCCCGTGCTCCTGCGCCTTGCTGACAGGGGCCACTGCCTTGCCTTTGTAGGGGTACTCAGGCGGTGGGCCCCGCGGGTCCGTGGCCTTGCCGGGCGGTGGGGCCGCCTTGAAGCCCTTCCCGCCCCCCGGGGCCGGGGGATGCTGCTTGGCCCCGTTCCTCTCCAGCGAGAGCTGCATGATCCTCTCGCTCAGCGAGCGGACGTGACCCTGCTTCAGCTCCTTCAGCGCCTCATCCTTATGCGCCTGCCCGCTGTTGGCCCGGTTCACCGTCGGCCTCCCCTCTGTCCTGGACTTCTGGCCGGATGCACCATAAAAACCCGGCGCGGCGGCAGTGGCTGGCGGCTGGCCTCGGAAAAACTGAGACTGCGCCTTGGCCTCCTCGTAGGTGGGGAGCTCCTCGGTGCCATGTGGGGGCTGCGGGGCTCGGGGCTGCTTCTCCATCGCAGCACTGTCCCCCTGGTGCTCCTGCCCCTGCGGTTCCTGCCGCCCCGACGGCTGGACCATTGGCGGCTCTTCGGGCGTGAGGTTTTCTGCGGAAGAGAGAGTGCTGGCAGTGCTGTTGGAGGGGCCGGCGCTGCCCGTCGCCTGGTGCTGTATGGCCAGCAGGTTCATGTTCTCGCTGGGGTTGCCATACCTCAGCCGCTCCTGGATCAGGCGCTGCAGGACGGTGCCGGCTGCCACCTCCTCCGCCCCTCGCATCTCTGCCTCTGGGACCCGGCGGAAGCTGGGTGGGCGCGGGGTGCAGAGGGCCTCCTCGGCTGGGCAGGGAAAGATAGAGGCGGCCATTAGCTCTGCTGCCCAGGAGGTCTGATTCCCCCCTTTTTTCCCCTCTTACACCCCACAGCTGTGACCCCGTGCCCAGAATGCACCCCTGGGGCAGTGCCCTGCCAGGGCACCCCTGGGAGCAGAGGGGACATGGCTGGAAGCCACCAAAGGAGGCAGGGCACCGCTCCCTGCTCGTCCCCCCATGCCAGCTTATCCCTAATTCTGTTTCCAGTGGCCCCTAAAAACATACTCCCACCCTCTCCCTGCCCTCCCCTCCATAATACTCCGTGCATTCCATACCCATGGCTCTGAATCCCGTCCCGAGTCAACAGAGGGACAGGCAATATCACAGGGAAATTTGGTCTTTCTAAGATTAGAATAGAATAGAATAGGACAGGACTATTTCAGTTGGAAGGGACCTACAATGATCATCTAGTCCAACTGCCTGACCACTTCAGCGCTGACCAAAAGTTAAAGCATGTTATTAAGGGCATTGTCCAAATGCCTCTCAAACACTGTCAGGCTTGGGGCATCGACCACCTCTCTAGGAAGCCTGTTCTAGTGTTTGACCACCCCCCCGGAGATGCCTTGCATGGCTTACAGAGGCAGCCTGCATGGCAATACTAAACGAGATGCTGCATTTTTGATGGCCAAAGTCAGATGAGTCAAATCCCCTCCAAGTGCACTGCCTGCCACGACAAAATATAATACAGAATGTGTCGCAGAAAAACGGTGAAACGACACTGAAAATAAAAGGGTCCTAAAAGTGCCATTAAAGAACAGTCTGTGCTCTGGCATCTTCCCCTAAAACTGCAATTTCCCTTCTGGCCAATAACGGTATTTCTAAGAGAGTCTATACTAATTTTAGTAATTTTGCTGGGTGAGTACAAGGAAGGCATTATGGTCATAGATGTAATGCCAGCATCTTAAAAAGAGCACAGACAGCTCAGCTACACAATCCTAACACAGGCTAATGAAGTAACTCAGAGGCAATGGTACCATTTTTGCACCATATATACAGTGGAGCTTGCCTGGAGCTAAGCATCTAATAGCATATAACCACGGCTGGGAGGCTGGGATCCCTCCCTCCTGGGAGATGTCTGTCTGAACAGTGTCTGAGCCCGGAGGGGTGCTCCTGAAAGACCCCGGTGTGTACAAAAGTGAGAATAAGCCCACAGCTCTGGACAGAGCTCTCCCATGTCCCTAGGCAAGAAGGAGGTGCCATTCTGAGTTCAGTTTTCTGAGGTCATTCTTGGCAACTTTCTCTCTCTTTCCTGCTGTTTCCAATTCTCAGAGGAGTTTGTCAGAAGTACTTACATTTGTTTTTTGGCATTTGAAAGTAGCTAAAAAGCAAACTTTCTCTTGAGGTCTGGTATTTCCCTGAGGTTTCATCAGTTACTGTACATGCTGTGGGATAACTTATATACAACCCGGATGCCAGAGGGGAAGAAAAGCCTTCAACTCTTAACTACGAGAATAGGTCATTTCCACTAACGTTTCTGCGGCAAAGCCTTAAAGATGATTGTGGGGCTCAAGGGGGAGAGAAGATTCCCAGGCTGTTTCACTCCACGCCTGCTCTATGAGATACACCTCTCCTGCTTTCCCTGAGACAACATTATCTGCCTACCAGCCTGACTCACTGGGGTTGCAGCCTGGTCACCAGCTTTCAGAGGGTCTGTCAGCTCCCTGGAACACTGTTTGAGCCAACAAGATGCACAGACACACACACCTCCATCTACCTGGCTGTTGCACAGACAAGTATCCATCTACTTTATATGCCCCTGCAGCTACATCAACCTCTTACTGCTTTATTTGTGTTATCACAGTGCACAGAAGCTTCACCATATTGGATATTTTGCAGATGTGCAATAAAATCTCCCTAACGTACCAGAAAGCTCACAGTCTAGGTTGTTAGACTATGCCTGAGATAAGCCTGTGGAAAGTGGAAAAAGCCAACGCTACATTGTCAAGGCAGCTCTTTATCATACACCACGAGGATTTTCACCCCTGTACTAGACATCTGTTAGCATCCTTATATCTAGGAGATGTACTTTAGCTGCCTATTGTTGAAGTCCAAAAGGATCGACCACAGTGTGCCTTCCACAGGGTACCTGCGGTCCTGCTCCATCAGCAAAAAGCTATGGACCTTGGTCTAGCTGTGCACTGAAGGGCAGCCACGTCCTGAAGGACAAGCAGAAACGTTGCATCCTCCACAAGCACAGGTGACAAATGATGGTGGGTTGTAACACTCAAGTCAAAGGTAACTCCCCTTTGACTCTACCGAGGATGAGAAGCTGGCCTTCAACTCTGTAAGTATTATTTGTAAATGGTCTAAACTGTTCAATTTATGCTTCAGGAAAAACCTGGAAGTAAATGCGGTGGGTTCGTATGGAAGCATGGCCACCCACTTACCAGCTTTTTCTTTGGCACTGATTGCTTCAGCTGCTAGCGGAGAAACTTCATGCCTGCCAGCAAATAACTGGTGATCCTGGTAAAGAAAGCCAGTGTCTTCCAGTACCTGGACTGGGCTGGTAGGCTTGTAACAAACAGATGTGGAGCCTGCAAGAAAGAAGAAAGGGTTGTCAGTAAATAAACCACTTGAATGACAAAATACAAAGCCATGACTTATGACAGAAGTCCAAAATGTTTTCTTGAGCGTGGTTAGGTACCTGAGAAGCCCTGCTGAGGCCACTGAGCCAACCACCTCTGCTGTCCTCACCACCCAAATAACACCATTAGCTCTGAGGAACAAGAGGCAGCCACCAAGTCATGTTCCTTGCACCAATCCAGCCTGGCCTTTGAGGTCCCCAGACCAGATACAAAGCAAGGCTGGCACAGCCTGGCTTCTAAGAGCTGACAGTGACAAGTTCACAAATCAAGGCACGGCCCTGGGACATGAGGCCAACAGAGCCAGAGTAAAGGTGAAAGAGGGAGTGGGTAAAAAGAAGGAAAGAAGGATAGGTGAGGACCCAGCCACACATTCAATAGGGCTAAAGTCTGGGAAAGGCTTTGCCACAAAATCCGTTCACGAATAATAGTTCAGCAACACAGAAAATTGCTGAAACATAAAATACAGCCAACACTATCAAGGCAGATAGCTTGTAAATCACTTTGTCCAGATGTTCTTAATACGGTAAGAAGACGATGTAGCTGTAGAGCCACAGGAATGTGTCCGGCATACCAACCGCACAGGAGCCGCACGCCTGAACTCCGGTGTCCCGCAGACTTCGGCAGCTGGACTAGTCCCCCAGCCCCTTTCACAATCAGTGAGCAGGAACAAGCTCGCCTGGCAAGCAGCAAGGCTCATCCTAAATCTGCTCTCAGGCATGGCTTTCTCCAGCAGTGCTTGTTTTAACAAGCTTATACAAAATGCATCACAGCAGTGTTAAGACAGGAATGACATTGGCATGACCCCACAATTCAAGAAAGACCCAGACAGACTGGAGAGGGTCCAAATGAGGGCCACAAAGATGATCAAAGGGCTGTAGAACCTGCCCTATGAGAAAAGGCTGAAGGAGTTAGGTCTTTTCTCCCTGGAGAAGGGAAGGCTTGGGGGGGACCTCATCACAGTGTTCCAGTACTTAAAGGGCGGCTACAAAGAGGACAGAGGCTCGCTCTTCACAAGGTGCCACACGGAGAAGACTAGCGGTAATGGGTACAAGTTACACTAAGAGAGGTTCTATCTTGACATAAGAAAGAAATTTTTTACAGTGAGAACCATTATTCACTGGAACAGCCTCCTCAGTGACATGGTAGAGTCCCCATCACTGGAGGTTTTCCAGATGTGACTGGACAGGGTGCTAGATAATCTCATCTAGGCTCCCCTTCCCATGGAAGGTTGGACCAGATATCTTTTGAGATCCCTTCCAACCTGGGCTGTTCTATGATTTTCCGCTTCCTACTTATTTTTTCTGAGCACTACCTCATTTTTGTAAAGAGAAGGCTCTTTGAGGTTCAAACCTTGGAGGTGAGTGTCTCCTGGCCCTGAGTACCCTGGTGCAGCGGGGACACGGCAGATTTGCTCTCTGTTTACACCACCCATTGCCAGACATTTTAGACCAAGGGACAGCCATCAACCTCTAGCACTGGCCACTGCCAAGGGACGTGCTTGGGCAGGAGGTGGAGGGTTCGCAGTGGCACCGGCAGGGCGTCCATCCGTCCCATCAGAGCATCTGTCCATCCCAGTGGGGCAGGAAGCCCATGAGCACAGGGAGCCACAGCACCCTGCTCTGCAGGAAAAAACATCGGCCACAGATGACCTGGACTTATTAATCCTGACTGCTTGGTTTGCGCTCGGCTAACTGCATGCTCACTGGTGTATATCACATGGGGAGGTTGCTTTGCTCTCCTCCTTACGTACAGGTCATAGCTAACCCCATGTCCCTGCATGGAGCAGGGCAGAAGGAGGGTAGTGGACGGCAGGATCTAGCCCATCTTCTCTACGGGCATGAAGATACTATTTTCTTTTGTGCCCAGAGGAGAGGAAATAGGCATTTCTGTGAAATGTTAATGAATTCATCACTTTACCATTTATATTATGCATGAATGTGTATGGCAGTTATCTATATTTAGAGAGCAAGAGGGAAAGATTGCTCACTTGAGTAGATCTAAGCCGAATATGTTTGTGAAAATGAGCATGGTAGACTGGTCTGGAATTTGTGCTGATGCTGATACAGACCCAAGAAAAATCTCAGGAACCCTAATTTCCAACATTATTACCCTATTCTGGTACAGAATAATATTAAAGACACCCTTCACTGCTCCTACACACACACAGTCCTGCCTTGGAATCAGGAATTCTGTGTGAAACAAGAAAGTTTTGAGCCCGGGCTTGTTTTATGAATAAGAAGTGGATTGGGGTGAAACAAAGAAAATCCACACACCCAAGGAAGACAAGCGGTTTCAAGCATTAAAGGTAACCTGAACAACCAGCAACTACCAGCTTGGCCTCACCATTCACCAAACAGAATTTAAAAGAAAAACTGTTACTAAAACTGGACACTCGCCTTCTGTATTTTGAGTCTGTAGGCACCCTTGGGTCATGTTTTCAAATTTTCCAAGATGCAAAATGGAGAATAAAGACCTGGTTTTTCTGTGATAAGAGCAGAAATTCTTACCTAACCACTTGTCTTTGGGGGCTGTGGCTGTGGCCAAGCAATATTGTACTATAATCACAAGGACTGGTAAACGCCGGCATCTGTCAAACTGCTCAGCTTCCCATCTCTGTTATATCGGAGTTGAAACCAAGTAGCTCTGACCCGGGCAGAAACCACTGCACTTTGCTGTACCCATGTTGATGTTTTATCATCATAAAATGATGTAATGATGTTTTATGATGTTAAAAATGATGTAACAATGTTTTATGTTCATTCACAGTAGGTTTTAATAAAACGTCAGCTGTAACTGGCACAGAAAGCCGGTTTATGTGTAAAACAGATAGCAGTTGCTGAAAGATCAGTGCTTGGCGCGTGGCCACCATCCAGATCATGGGCAATAACACAGCACTTGAAAGCTCAGTGAAGCCTCACAAGCCATTTGGAGCAAGGCACAAGCCTTTTTTTTCTTTCCCCCCTTGCTACTATTGGAACCTCCCAAATCCCAGCTCCCCTCTCCGGAGGGAAAGGTTTTGCTACACCCAGCTCTGCAGGGGTGCAAGGCACCCTTCCGATGCTCGGGCACCTGCTCCTTCCCCACACCTCCCCATTCTTCTATGATGCTCACCAAAAAAAGCAATTTCCATCCCTAAAACTGAATCCTGGTGCCAGAGCAGCGGTGCCCAGGGTCCACAGGTAAACAGCCAGTTGAGGGCAACCTAGGATGGAGACCATCACCCCTCCAAGGACATGTCCCCGGGGAAGGGCTTTCTACCCACATCCAGCCCAAATGTCCTAAGTCACAAACCATGGTTGCTGCCACTGCCAAGAAGAGCTGAACCCATCACCTCCATAGGTGCCTGCAGGCAGCTGCCGGCTGTGACGTGCCCCCTCCTCTCCCCCTCTCAAAGCCAGCCCAGCCCCCTCGGCCCCAGCATGCTAGTACACAGCCCGATGCATAGACATCACCTCTTCAATTGCCATATTATCTGGTGTCTCTTATAGCCAACTCTGTAAGACATTCCTGGCCCGGTTCAGTCCTTGCTGAATTGGGCAGCTGCTCCAGGCCTTCATTTCTGCATCTCTGCCGACTCTCCCACATCTAAGTGATTGCCTGACACCAATTCATTTGTTTTCAAGATAAACATGCATTACACCATACAGAAGCAGACGTATTATCCTGGAGGGTTACTACACAGCAGCGCAATTCATTTGAAGATTCAGAACTATTTCAGTGAATCATTTGCTAAGATTAACACCAGACAGTCAGCAAGGACCCAGGGACAGAGAAGCAATGCTTAAATATTTCCTGTTTCTGATGTGGCTTCAGTCTGGTTTTGAAAAGGATCTAAAGCAAAACCTGACAGGAAGCTCATTGCTGCGACATTACAGGAAAGCCACAGTTTGAGAGCAGCAACAGCATCCCCAAGAAGCAAATTTCCTCCTCAAAAAACTAGTCGGAGAAGATGGTTTTCTTACAGCCAAACTGTACTACTACTCTCACCTTCAGTAAAACACGAAAAAATGCCTGTTGTGCAAAGACGGTTTGCTGCTATTTAGAGGCAACACCTCGAGGCAGCGCCCGAGTGATGAGTTTCTGCATCACACCCCACTGCCCGCCTGGGTACCGCTCTGCGACCGCCTGCGGCACAGCCCGCGCTGCCGGCACATACGGCTCCTCCTCCACCACCCAAAAGCCACCCAGCCAAACAAAAACACAGAGCTGTCCTCCAAAAAATCCTCTCCCAATTTGTACCCTACTGACCTAGCGGTTTGAAAGAGACTGAGGCGTTTCAAATACCATCCAAAGCAATCATCTGAAATTAAAAAGTAAGTAAGGCGGCTTTACGCTTTCCTATAAACTCTGCCGCGGTTTGTAAGGGAGGTCCAAAAATGACAGAACAAAAATGACATCGTTTCCAAGCCCACATCTGTCCTTCTGTCTCATAGCCAAGCCAGAAAGGAGTATAAATACCTTATTCCACATTTAAAATATTTTCTCTGCCCTGTTGCTGCATAAAAATTTCAGGTCAACAAGAAAGGAAAATAATCATTTAAGGGAACCAATGAAAGGATGGTCGAAGTGCTCCAGCGTCCCAGGGGCTGCTCAAACACTGTGCCATGAAGGGTACCGCTCTGCGACCGCCTGCGGCACAGCCCGCGCTGCCGGCACATACGGCTCCTCCTCCACCACCCAAAAGCCACCCAGCCAAACAAAAACACAGAGCTGTCCTCCAAAAAATCCTCTCCCAATTTGTACCCTACTGACCTAGCGGTTTGAAAGAGACTGAGGCGTTTCAAATACCATCCAAAGCAATCATCTGAAATTAAAAAGTAAGTAAGGCGGCTTTACGCTTTCCTATAAACTCTGCCGCGGTTTGTAAGGGAGGTCCAAAAATGACAGAACAAAAATGACATCGTTTCCAAGCCCACATCTGTCCTTCTGTCTCATAGCCAA